TATCTAGAAACCAAGCTTTAGTTTTGTGGACGAGATAAATATCAGACAAGGTGGAGCCGTTGGATTATGATCGAGAAACATAAATATGTTTGAACTTTTACCCAAAACTAATTTAATGGAAATTTATATAATGTCAAGTGGTTGAAAATGCATTTATTAATTGAAAAATCCATTACTCCAAAAGCAAAATGACTGCCCAACGAGTGCATCTCCTCACGTGAAGTCGGCCACCACCTATCCATTTTCCAATAATTGATATGATTTCACAAACCAAATACAACTATATTACAGTATGTTAATTAAGAAATATTAACATGAATATTCAAAAAGATCTTGTTTGATGAGATTGTCGCACGTACTCTTTAAATTGTTATATAATAAGTCTAGGAGATTTTGTATGATCTCATGATCTATTTGTTTTGCCATAAGACAACAACACATGATTTGAGACATCTAGATCATAATGTGAAAATATAAGCAGAATATATATAGAACAAAGGTATGCATCTTCTTGTCCACTAATATATTACTACATGTAAAAATATAACTAGAATCGCTATACACATATCACTTAAATGTCATTTTGTGTAAGAGTATGCTAGTACTACTAAACATGTAAGATAATAGTCATGACCCAATTGACTCAACAATAAATAGCATGGCACTCGGAACAAAGACACTTATGAATGAAATGGCCCCGAAAAGATATCCGACCTCCAAAATCTAACATTCATTTCTCTCCTTCAACCTTTTAAAGAGTATTTTTAATTTGCTTCTTATATATGTCCCACGTGTTGGTAAGCAAGGTTATATCTAAGCATATAATGCAATTATTTGAAAATCATCCGGCAAAATGTAGGTTCTTCACCAAAAAAATAGTATTGAATTGTTTTGAGTCTATATCTTTTTTGGGATTGAGTAAAAAACTAGACTTTGAGTAATAATATTTATATGGAACAGAAAATATGCAAAACCATCTAAATAATAACATAATTTTATATTTATACAGATGTGTATGGATAAAGAATTGATCACATAGTCACAGTCAAACCGATATCTTTGACTTCCCACCAACAATTTGAGTAAAAAAATTACTAAAACGATAGTCCACTTAAAGAATAAACGATCAATTTCTTATGATAAATTTTAGTATGATAAATATATCATATCGTTGTAAGACTTACTTGTCGACATAGTTGCTACGACGTTTAAATATCAAACAACGTTTCATTTTGCAATTTGGTTAAAAACTATAATTTCATTAAGATCGGTGCTTGACCGTTTTCCATCCATAAACTAGGTTTTGCAATTTGCAATGAGTTTTGTGCGAGAATCTACTGTTAAATTAGGTTTTTGGTGTATATAGAAAAAAGGATATAGATAAACAATATCACCAAAAAAAAAAAATCATAGATCTCTGTTACTTTAAGCTCCAAATTGATTGTTAGGATTAGTTGTTGTGCAAGATATAGATCATCTTTAATTAAAAGTTGCAAAAAGCATGCATAATAATGTAACCACTATTTTTTGTTGTTGATAAAATATGTAACGTCTAACTTATTTTTTAAATAGTACTAATGTACGTAACGTCTATTTAGAATATTGGATATTAATATTATGAAAACAATTCTTGAGAAGCAAAAGTCAGTTGGTCAGTATATCTACGATGAGTTAGTTAAGAGTTGTTCACATTTGATGAATACGTAGCCAAATTTGTAACGTTTCCTCTTTGGCCGCAACTGTGCACACATATGCATACACACCATAATCATGCTAATTAACAAATCAAATATTGGTCGCAGACTCGCAGTTGTTCATATTGAACCGTATTGTCTATTATAAAAGCTTACATGATTTAATATACAACAATATATTGTTCATAAATCATAAGCGACGGATTTCACGATTTCTAAATACTTAATATATAACTATATTAATAATTCTACAAACTACTAATGTATTGGCTAATTAACCAATGAATGACTAAGTTTCAATTTTTTTATGTCAACATGTATCATACAAACTTAAATCATTAGAATACATATCATCTGTCGTCCCCTATGATTTTTTCTATTTCATACAAATAGAAGTTGAATCAATTGACAATAGACTAAAACCACATTAGTTCTGAAAAATTCCATAAAAATAATTTGTTGATCCGAATCCACATTAGTTTTAATGTTTGTGGTATTTAATCCCTTTTTAGTGGTATTTTTGAACAAAAATTATAATGGTATACTTGGAATAAAACTTTATTTAAATGGTATAATCATAAAC